TCACATTGTCCTCCACGGCCCAGCTTAGCCTCCGGGGCCCCAGGGTTGGGGTGGGGGTGGATGTGTTTGTTTCTGAGTTTGGGAAGTGAGCCTGCCCCATTGTCCGGGCCCCCTTATCTCTGGTTCCTTATCAGAGCTGCCACCAGCGGGGCACATGTGTGTTCACAGTGCACCCGAAGCCGGGCGGCCCCATGGTATTTAACCACCCGGGTCCTGGATGGGGAGTGGAACCCTCGCCTCGCCTTTCACGGGGTGGATGTTAGCCCAGCCGCGTCCTTTAGGGACCTGCAGTGCCTGTCAGCCATGCCTTACGTTTAGTTCTGTGATATCCGTTCATTTAATGGGTCCCTTCATTTTTTCCCCCAAAAATAAAGACACCAAAAAGAATTGTGTCTGTGCACTCACCAGGTGAGCAGTGATTTCCCACAGCTCCAGACTGAGATTAAGAGCCCGTGAGAGCCATCGAAACGGGCATGTCTTGTGACCTGGGACCTCAGACCACGGACCCGGGAGCCACAGGGCCCGGGTTCGAGTCCCACGCGGGCACTCACTCGTGTGTCTGTGCTGTTTCCCCTCTGAGAGGGGTGATAACCCAGCTGCTGAAGGCTGTGTCTCGTTAGGTAGTAAACACCACAGACATGTCGGTAAGACAAACACCTTGCCGGGTCTAAACACCTGACCAAGGAACCTAGTCCGGGCTGAGAACGCAACTGCCCGGTTAGCATCGAGAGCTCCTCTGGAGTCTGACTCACAGTCTGCCTGGTGGGTTTACACTGAGCCTTACTGTGGGGTTGACTGGGATTCAGCCAGAACATCACCACGCTCATGAGATTAACTGGGGTTTTTTTTTCCCTCCAAAACTTAGGAGGGGACATGTCTCCAAAAGAGCACCAGGAGCTGAAGTCCTACGTCACCCACCTGTACGTCATCGACAGCCAGCAGGCCCTGTTCGAGCTCTCCCACCGGATCGAGCCCCGCGCGTGAGCCCAGCCGCACCCCCCTGAGCACCTGCAGCTCTCCCGCCACAGGACGTCCGTGCCCAGCACGTCCCTTTCCTGGGAGAAAAGAAGCTGCTGAGTTTTATCAGTAACTCACGAGACATGCTCCAGCCACCCGCGGTGGGGAAGGGCCT